GAGCAAAGTGAAAGCTGCTGTTGTTGAACTTGTAGTCGGTGAGAAGATTTGTTTTGTTTTGAACTCATTTCCAACTTTTCAGGCAAGTTTCACAAACAGATTTCGACTCTACTGGTTTTTGAGGTGTTTTTGGTTTTGTTTTTTAGATCCAAACAATGCTAAAAACCTGACGACAGACAGGCCACTGCATCCCCAAATCCTCCAAACTCCAAATCCTCAGGACACGACTCCAAGAAATAGTGAGAGTCCAACAGTCCAACTTTCGTCTGCATCATTTCCATTTGAGAGATATTTTTAGTAAAACGTTTTCCTACATCAGCAGGTCGGTCCAGGGTCTCTGTGGTCGTCATTATCTTTGCCTTTATATCCGTTGTGGCTGTCGCTGCTTTCGCTCCATGTTTCTCTGACCGTGTAAATGTAAGAAAGAAACAAACAGACACAAACTTGTTGTTGATTCTTGTGTCATCAGATTGGCTAATTTTTCACCTTCTTTCAACAGAAGCAACCAGAGGATGATGAGACGCCAAGATAACAGTAACCTGGCATTGTTAGGAACGCTGGTGTTAATGGAGCTGAGAGCGTTAGAGATTTATCTTCCCTGGATCTTCAGTCAGGTTGGGAATTCAAACCAGCAGCCACAGGAAGACACTCGGGTCCAGCAGCACTGAGATCATCATAAGGTCACTCCTACAAAAAGATGTGAGTCTGACTGGGGTTTGAATCTTGACGCCTCACCTGAAGTACACTTACAGAGCCTAAAAACACATCTAAAATAAAGCGTTGTACTACTCTTAGGAAAACTTAACACTAAACTAATTTTATATTAAGATCAAATGAATAACAGAGAAGTTTTGAATGTAAGTGGGTAGGGATGCAATGAAGCAGTGTTTCTTGGATTTAAATGTGACCTATGAGGTAATTTTGTTTCCAAAGTGTGATTGTTTCCTACGTTGACTCACTTTGGTTAAACTATCTCACTGTGGAAAACACTGAAGGGTTTATTCAAGGTTAAAAATAAATTCCAAATGTGCTTCCTGGTGATCATAAAGAGCTCTGGTCAGTGGAAAAACCCCTCCCTCCCCAGTTTGAAATGTCAGGTTACAGTTAAACCATTATACTTAGTTTTCTTGGAATTATTTTTAGAGTTACTGGAAATTGTTAAATGCAGAACGATCAGCTGGTTTCAAGATATCTTTAGCATGTGGTCTCATTATGTAGCTCCAGTAGCTAATAGCATTTGATTTATTTAATTTATTTAATTACTTATTTCCCAGCTTTAGCTGTGATCAAGTGCTGGCTGATGTGCATCACCTGCTGAAAGGCAGTTTGGTTTGGAAGGTTGTCCAGGATGATCCCAGCGTCCACTGCAGATCACAGCGTGTGAATATTCTGAAGATTGTAAAAGCATCGGCAGCTTTCAAGTGACAAAAACTGGATTTATGGAGTTCATATAGAGACGTCTTTTGTTTTATTGACTGTATTGTGGAAATGGAGTCTTTGGTAGTTCATTTGATCAGATCTGATTGTTTTTCTTACTTCACATGTTTTCTTTTGTTTTTTTCTACCATCTTTAATGTCTCAGTGAAACTGTAAGTTGAGTACTTGAAGCGCAGAAAGACCTCCTACACTGTGTTAATTAACTCCAGCACTTTGTCAAATGTATGTGCACTAATACAGTCGTTCCTTCATTTAACCACACTTGTGTTTAAAAGATATTCTGTAGTGACTGGGTTTAAGTTTAAAAGGAATGACTAATTTATTACATTTATTTTGAACCTACTACTTGAAAGGTTGGTGGTTCGATCCCTGTCTGCTCCAGTCTGGATGCCAAATATCTGTAATATAATCTATCATTTTCTTATACAGCCCACTGTCAGCCTTTTCCTTTACCCCCTCTCTCTTTGCTGTGTGCCTTGCCTCCCAGTGCTACACTCTGCTTTTTTCATCTGCCTGGTTATCCCACTTTTTCTTATCTAACCTCTTTCTTTGAATATTTTCTGGTACTTCCTCATACCACAGCAAACTTTCAGTGTCTTCTTTCCTCTGTCCAGAGTTTCGCTCAGCACTACGGCTCTACTTTTTCCAGTCATCTGATAACTCTTCTCTACCACCCAGAGCCTTTCTCAGCTCTTATCTGAACTCTATGAAATATTCTTCTTCCCTCAGCTTCCACCATTAACTCCTTGGATCTCCCTTCGTTTCCTCTTCTAGCTGACATCCAACCTGTGGGACAAATGCTCTGACAACTTTCAACAACGTGCCGAAATAATGCCAAGTGTCCTTCCTGACACAAGCCTCCCCCATGTCCCTCTTATGATACGCCAAAATCTACACTATTATGCATACTTACAAAGACAACTCAAATTTGACAATACAGCGTTATATTCTGTATTGGGTAAACAATATATAAGTATTTTTGTAGAGTAAGAGATTAAAAAATGTGTCAATGTGAATTGTAGAGTCATGGCTCGGGCTGACGGTAGATAGCTGAATGAATTTGAGGCGACATATAATTCTTAACTTGTTTGATTTAAGGTGCTCACCACTACAAGATTGTTACAACAATTTCAGGGAGATTTAACCTGGTTACCTGTTTATCTGTGCTCTGAATTGTATCGTGCTGCTGATCTTCTTTCAGGTTATTTGAGTTTTTTTTAACATTCCTTAGTGTGTTTTCCTTCCTAATACCTGTTGACATCTTGCTTTGATTTTCCGTGAACAATGTAACAGCACCATCCCGCAAATGTGTGCTATGTGCAGATGTTGATTCCAGCTGTTCCTCAGCTTCAAAGAACCTTCATCGTGCTGCAATGTGTGAACTGTAACAAATCAGTATTTTAATATGAGTTTAGTAAAAGTGTTTGTTTTTCTTATTATTATGTGAGAGACACAGACTCAAACCAGCAACCTGCAGTTTATAACTCAGCTGATCATGTCCCACCCAAGTTACCCACCTGGGTTTGGCAAAGTAGATCCAGCCCTGCTGAAGCTTTTCAACCACATCTGTGCGCTCAAACCGATGACATATTTAAAGGGTTTTAAATATTTCAAGGCAGGAGTGCAAAAAGATATCAGGGACATTTACAAGATCGACCAGCTGATAAACAATGAATCCATCGACAAAATGATCCATTTAAAATAAAAACAAGAAAAAAACAGAATAGCTGATCATCATGTATTTATGGAAAGATGGAACGTTTGACAGGCTATTCGCACGGAAACACAACAAGCACAGCTGTTACAGTATTAATGCGATGATCGACATCCCCCACCTGCAGGAACATCCTGTTTTCTTTATTTGATTCCTGACAAAAGGTTTTTTACACTGTACACTCTACATGTGTGGTTACATCAGTTTCACAGTGAGCATGTTTGCAGTGGCGGTCCTAGCCTGTTTCAC